CAGCAAGTCTTCTGTCAGCCTCCCAAGTAGCTGGACTACAGGCATGCGCCACCATGCCGGCTAATTTTTTCTATATATATTAGTTGGCCAATTAATTTTTCTATTTATAGTAGAGACGGGGGATCTCACTCTTGCTCAGGCTGGCTTCGAACTCCTGACCTTGAGAGCAATCTGCCCGCCTAGGCGCCTCAGCCCTAGATGAGCCTTTATAAGAAATAGCTTTTTTTTTTTTTTTTTTTTGAGACAGAGTGTCGCTTTGTTGCCCAGGCTAGACTGAGTGCCGTGGCATCAGCCTAGCTCACAGCAACTCCAAACTCCTGGGCTCAAGCAGTCCTGCCTAAGCCTCCCGAGTAGCTGGGACTACAGGCATGCGCCACCATGCCAGCTAATTTTTCTATATATATTAGTTGGCCAATTAATTCTTTCTATTTATAGTAGAGACAGGGCTGCTTCTTGCTCAGGCTGGTTTCGAACTCCTGACCTCGTGCAATCCGCCCGCCTCAGCCTCCCAGAGAGCTAGGATTACAGGCGTGAGCCACTGCACCCGGCCAGAAATAATTCTAATTCTATCAGATATTGTGTCTGCTGTCTTGATTCCCTGTCCCACAAACCCTGACTCTATTCACCCCTGTCAGACTGAAAATCTGACAGATAGGGTTCTTCTGCCTTATGTGTGGGGATTGCATGGCTTGGGATGGGTGTCAACCTTGTGTGAGCTGTTTGATTCCACTGATTGCTGAAACAGTATCATCAAAAAAATTAGCCGGGCATGGTAGTCCATGCCTGTAGTCCCAGCTACTTGGGAAGCTGAGGCAGGAGAATTGCTTGAGCCCAGGAGTTTGAGGTTGCTGTGAACTAGGCTGATGCCATAGCACTCTAGCCGGGGCAACAGAGGGAGACTCAGCCTCAAAAAAATGTTAACTAATATATAGCAATAAATATTGTTATATTATTTTGTAATGGTAACTGTTACTATTATTACTCTTCTCCCTAAGAAGTCCAATCTTGATTCTCTTCTGCAACTTCTTCCTTGCCAATCCCCAATATGGCCACAAGAGGGCATCAGTAGCCACCAGAGTCTCCAGCCCTCTAGTGGCCACTTGAGGTCTCTGGCTCCACCCCCAGACATCAAGAGGCTCTTTTAGCCCACTTGTTGGGAAGTGCAGCCTACTGAGGACTCCAGGTTCCTGGTTGGACTTGCTAGGCTGATAGGGTCAGGGGAAGAGCCTCAGGTAGGTATCTACTCACGGGACCCAGTTGAGGCAGACCTCTGCACACATGCAGGAGACTGGGTTACCGCAGTTAGGTGGGGTAACCACAGTCTAGCAGCTCCGCAGCCAGGGTACGCATGCCCTCAGCCTTTTGTACTCTTCGGAGTTTCTTCTGGCTACCTGACAAGCAGACTTAGAGGAAAATAAAGGGAGGGTGAAGCTTCCTGTTTCCCTAATCCAAACCTCTCCAACGGACTCCTGGCCAACCTGTAAAGCTGGACTCTGAATTTGGAGAAGGCCAACACAAGCCCAGTCACGTGGCAGAAGCAAAGTCCTCTTTGCCTATAAGGAGTGTGAGGAGTGTATGTGTGTGATGCAATTATAATTTCTCCACTGAAACCTGAGTGGAATCTTACTCCTTTTATCTCTGGGGTTTGTTTTATTCAGCTGCAGGTGGCTAACTTTGTTTGTTTGGCTGCAGCTGCAGCTGCAGACTTTGTTTTCAGATTTACCAATCACCCTCCACCACCCCCATGCTCTAAATTTTACAATTGCAGAGTTGGACGAAATCTTAGAGATGACCTAATCTACCTACCAGCCTTTCATTACTGACTCAATGAGGCTGAGTGACTTCTCAAGGCCATGGAGTTAGAAACAGAATCCAGGTATTCCCCTCAGTATTTTCTTTATCATTAAATGAGGACATGGCTGATTTGGGGTTCCTCTTAGTGGAATACATGGGAAAAACAGTAATATATAGTGCCTTGGCTGTTGACTCACATATACTGCTTCAACTCCCAAATTCCATATTGCTTTTCCAAAAATAGTTTGCATTGCATAATTTCAGAATACATATTTTTTTGTTTTTTTAATTTAATATTTCATTTTTTCTTTTTTTATTCTAATTACTCTAATTTTTTTCCTTTTCAGTTCTACCTACTATTGAGCATTTGTACAGAATACATATTAATAAAAATTCCTTCTGGTTATTTTACCTCTTGTTAGGAAACTTTCTGCACTTGAATCTCTCTCTTCAGGTACTACTGAACAGATTCAGGTAAGGCTCTGCTCCTTACCCGAATAGGCTTCTTGTACAGGTCAGCCTGACCTGAAAAACTCACTTTCCACAACTGAGCTCCTTGTGTCTGCCAGTCCCAGAAGCCTGCCCTAGTAACCTAGACTCTAGCCTGAAGGCCTGGTGATGGCCTGTCCCCTGCCTTGGGACACCTCAGCAGCCCATACAGAGGAAGTGAGTCACCAAGGCAGGCAGTGCTTGGGGCACCGTGGGCGTGGCTGTGCCAGACTGGATGGTGGGGGATGGGTTGGAAGGGTGGTTGGTGATCATAATCTCCTGGTCCAGCCAAGCCAAGTGTGTGTGGGACCTGAGTATGCCCGCAGGAGTTAGTATCATCTAATGCTGACTGAGGCCTAGTTTCCCCTTCTCAATCCACTTTCTCCTTTGTCTTCTGGGGGAGGAGTACACCCTCTTATCTTTATTTCTCAGGCTCTGGTTATCCAAGTTCTGCACCAAAACTTCCCCTCCCCACTGCTATCTTTAAAAAATAAGTTAACCAGTCTTCTGTCCTCTTGAAGCATTTAAAAAGCATGGTAAGGACCATGTGAAAGACTGGCACCTAGGAAAACCACTTGAGAAAAGGGTTCAGAAACTAACGAAGGGGAGATAAGCAGGACAGAGGTGTGGAGAGGGGATTAGAGAGGGACCTGAAGATAAGCTGGGACCCAAAGAGGCACTGGAACCCAGATGAGGAGGGTGCTGGGGAGGGCGGTGAAGAAAGGCAGAGGGAACTTTGGAATTGGAAGGCTGAGGGAGGCGGGAGGCGGAGTTACAAAGGGGTAAAAAGTGACCATATAAAATATGCTAAGAAAGGAGGAATTCTGACAGGGGCAAAGGAAAACAGGGCTGGAGAGGTTCTGGGAACTGGGACACCAGGCTAGCCCTAGAAGGCCTGGAGAAGCCCCTGGGGCTGGTCCAGGGAACACAATGACAGATCTCATTTCCCCAGTGGTACCTGGGCTGAGGTTTCCACCCCCTCACCCTCCCCCCAGCAAATTAACTAACAGGTTGGAAGTCAGTCAGCTTTTGTCTTTCTACGCCTCCAGAAAGAGCCTTAGGTGAGCAAGCCCTCAAACTGGATTAGTGCAAGAGGTCACAGGTCATGCTCCTTCTTAAGAGAACTGTCAAAGCACAAGTGGGACTTGACTAGATAAACCAAGAAACAAGTCACCGTCAGAGGTTCTAACGGTGATAGCATTAAAAAGCCAACATTTCAAGGTAAAAACAATTTTTAAAGTACTTCCACACGGAGTGAGCTGTAGCTCTCTTTGTAAACAAACCCTCAAACACATCTTAGTCGTGATTTTCCCCACTAGTAGTTAGGGCCAGTTTTCTAGGATAAACACGTTGCATTTTCCTGAAACAGCAATTTACCAGAGTATTTAAAGGAGAAAATGCTTGTTAATATGACATCAACCACGGATAAACGTGGTGTGTAGTTTGAAACTCCAAATAGCTTTTACAAAACAAAAGTTGGGGGGTGGCTCTTCCAGACTCCACTGCAGTAGGATTTGTGTGCAGGTAGGACCGTGCTCTTCTCTGCCACTGGGGGTCGGGTCCAGGGCACTTGGCAGAAAACAGAGGTCAGGAGTTCGAAACCAGCCTGAGCAAGAGCAAGACCCTGTCTCTACTATAAATAGAAAGAAATTAATTGGCCAACTAATATATATAGAAAAAATTAGCTGGGCATGGTGGCGCATGCCTGTAGTCCCAGCTACTCGGGAGGCTTAGGCAGGACTGCTTGAGCCCAGGAGTTTGAGGTTGCTGTGAGCTAGGCTGATGCCACGGCACTCAGTCTAGCCTGGGCAACAAAGCGACACTCTGTCTCAAAAAAAAAAAAAAAAAAAGAGCTATTTCTTATAAAGGCTCATCTAGGGCTGAGGCGCCTAGGCGGGCAGATTGCTCTCAAGGTCAGGAGTTCGAAGCCAGCCTGAGCAAGAGTGAGATCCCCCGTCTCTACTATAAATAGAAAGAAATTAATTGGCCAACTAATATATATAGAAAAAATTAGCCGGGCATGGTGGCGCATGCCTGTAGTCCCAGCTACTTGGGAGGCTGAGGCAGAAGGATTGCTTGAGCCCAGGAGTTTGAGGTTGCTGTGAGCTAGGCTGACACCACAGCATTCACTCTAGCCTGGGCAACAAAGTGAGACTCTGTCTCAAAAAAAAAAAGGCTCATCTAGAAAACAAAATACTTGTCTGTAGGGGAACACACATACTCCATCAGCCCAGGAAAGAGCTGCACTTTCTGCCTCCTACCCCCTTCCTCCACTGAAAGAGAAAAAGAACAAGGTGGAAGTGACCATTTGGATACCAGATGAAAGAGGGAATGGTCTAGGGTGGGGGTGGGACAGTAGACACTTGGGCCAAGAGAAGCACCAAGACAGCCCTGAAGACTCAGTGATGCTGGGTCCAGCACGACACTTGGCAGTCCTAGGGCTCAGCACTGAATGCCAGCAGGATGACCAGGGCAGTCTTTTCCAGGGTCCGCACCCCTCATTCTCCCAGAAGAGGGGAGAAGCAGTGATATTCAGGCTGGCCTAGAGACTGAAAGCTGAGACAGAAGGAAGGTGGTCCCCTCCTAGACAGGGAGAAAGAGAGTGGAGATTGTTATCCACTGTGACCTGGAGACCAATTGGTGCCACTGAATGACGGCTGAACCCTCAGACCACAGCTGAGCTGGGCTGGTCCTCCCGCCTGCTCTTGACAGCTCAGCTCCACCCACACACACCACAGAAGCCCTTGCGAAATCTCTCTCAGCCTGTCACGGGTCAGTATTCCAGCTCAAGGACTTCACCCTCTTGTCCCCACTCCCGGTCACTGCTCTCTCAGATGAAATCAGAGGTCAGCACTGACAATAAAGGAGCTTCAGCTCCACCTTCCCCTCCTCCCTCCCCAATCACACACTCACACACACATTCCAGCCTCAGCACCCGAGGACACTGCCCTTCCCCCTCAGCTCTAGCCAGAATAATATTTAATTAGCTAAAGAGATGGAAGCCTTCTAAACTGAACAAAATTAAGAAATTTCCACAGTGCAGTGGAACTTTCCTCACACAAGCACACACACACACTTACTTCCTAGAGAAAAGTTGTGGAAAACTGAATAGAGTGCCCGCTCCAGCAGCATATATACTAAAATTGGAATGATACAGAGATTAGCATGGCCCCTGCGCAAGGATGACAACAAATTCGTGAAGTAAATATTAAATTTATATTAAAAAAGAAAACTGAATACAGAAGGACAATGCAGAACACCTAGACGTGTTTGCATACCTCTGCCTCTTCCTTCCCACTTTTTGTGTTGTTTTTTTTTTGCTTAGTGGGATTGGAAGTGGAGAAATGTACCTGACCTAGTCACTGGCTACCTCTTCTAGCCCTAACTTTCCTCCAGTGAAATGCAAAGCCAAGGGCATAGGCAGGCCTAGCTTTTGGGTTCCACCCCTAGCCTCAGGAAAACTGGCAGGGAGGTTCCTTTTGTCAGGTGCATTTGAAAATTAAGGATTCAGAGGCTGACTGGGGTCCTGGAGGGTGGGTGGAGCCCTTCTAGATCTCCTGGGGTCCAGGAATGTCTTATGCCTATAATGGTGAGGAGCTGGGGAGGTAAGCAGAGTAGATGGCAGAGAATGGTCCAGGCAATCACCTGAGTAGTGCGACTATCTCAGCCCCAGGACAAGACATCTCCCACTCCAAGCGGGGAGAGTGGAAGACAGGAGTGAGAGCCTATGATGTGTCAAGATTTTCGAACTGCAGATTAATCAAGGCTCTCTCACACTTGGGTTTCAGGCTTTCTATGACCACATCCCTCCCTGTTGTCCTGTACTTCCATTAATAGAGAAGCATTACCCCCATCTCCCACCCTGGCAGCCTAGCCCAGCAGGGAGAAGCACCAGATTCAGCAGGGTTGGGACCTCTGACTCAACATGAAGGAAAGGGAGGACAACTGGGCTCCCTAGTAGCCTCACTTACACATCCACATGAGGAGTCGGCTCAGGGCGGTGGTTTGTTAGCACCAGCACCCCAAGCCAAGCAAAGGATGGCAAAAAAAGGCTGGGGCAAGAAGCAGTGATGTGCACACAGCCTATGGTGATGACCCTGTTTTCCAGACCACCTCGGATCTCACGGCAGTTACTTGATCTCCCTTGCAGAAAAAAAAATCAAACTACAGATACCTTACACTCATAGAATTCACTCTCCCCCACACGGACGTGTGTGTGTGTGTGTGTGTGTGTGGTGTGTGTTTCTCTATTCTCTCTCTCTCACACACACACACACCTGCCTCAGAGACTCTGATGCCACTTTCTGAGGCACAGACTGGAGAGGGGCCAGAGAGCAGGGATTTCACAGGCATTGGTTACCAGGAACTTGAGCAGGGCTCCACCCAGCTCCAACCTTTGTCCCAACTCTGACACCCTCTCAAGACCCTCCTAGTGGATTGAAAAGAGGCAGAGGGTCCCCATGGGAGCTTGCAGACCCAGAGGGCTGGGAGGGCATAAGTTTGGGCCTGTGAGGAAGTAATTCTCACAAAATGAGTGTGGTAACAGTGCCACTAGCTCTCAGAGTTTGGAAGAATTAACTAAAGAAAATATAAAGGGGTCAACAAGAAAGGAAAAAGTGACAAAGACAGGGTCTCACAGGCTTTTCACTTCCACTGAAGCCTGAGTGACCACAAAAAGGTGGGAAAAGTCTGAATAGTTTTCCTTGTTGAAAATTTTCTTTTCAGGCAACAGAAGCAAGTCATGAACTAGAATGGCTGCAAGCAATGGATGAAGCAAAGAAGAGGTGCGTTACTGCTCTCAGGCTGCAGCATAGGCCCCAAATTTTAGGTCAGATTATGGAAAGATGTGGGTGGAGCAATAAGAAGTACAGTGGTGCTCAGACCTCAGCTGGCCTACAGCTAAT